ATGAATCATAGAACACCAGGGCAGTGTGACCTTGGACAAGTCTCCTGGTCCTCCATTTCCCCATCTGTAAAATAAGGGGGTTGACTTTGATTATATTTACAATCCCTTCTGGCACTGCCATTCTGTGTTCTGGGCTGACATTCTATGAGTGTGATTCAGAGTAAATAGAAATACATCTAAGAATTCGAGAAAGGGGGAGTTTCCTCTAGAGTTTCTTCCAGGGTATAGGGGTGCCAATCTGATCACATCCACTCCTAAACAGTACTAAGCTAAGATCAGGTGCCCCACGGGCAGGCTAGGACTGGTTACCCCCACCCTAGACCCCTCCCCATCGCAGAGAATACTTGAGACACAGCTTCAAGCCCCTAATAGCTTTGGCAGAAGGCACTGTTGCTATGGCAACAGTTATAGCTGCTTTTCTCCTGGTTCTATGCTCCTCAGGGAGTCTACAGAAGAGATGCTAAGTGTGTCACTGGGTCAAAGAACCAAAGGATGTTCGAGCTGGAAATGATGGATGTTAAAAGCATACATAGCTTCTTCTGGTTAAAGGGATTTTCAATAATTCAATTCAACAAAGACATATTAGGTACCTGCTGTGTGCAGAGCACTATGCCAAAGGAGAAACAAAAGTCAGATGGGGGAGGGGGTGGGGAGAGGAGTGCCAGCAATGGCAGTTGAGACTAATTTCATGAGCACAGTGCAGAGACTCCCTTTACCAATGCAGATCAGCAACTCTGTGATTTAGTCTTAGAGTGTTACCTTGGGGCACTCTGAGGTTAAGTGACTTTTCCCCAGTTACACCGCTGGTGTATGTCTGAGGCAGGACTTTGGGTGATTTCACGGCTGGCCCTCTATCCATTATACCATGCTGTTTCATAAAAGTTTAGATAAAAACATAAAATGTCCTAGAATGTGCCAGAAGGGATCTTAGAGATCACATAATCCAACCTTCTTATTTTACTGAGGTAGAAACTAAGGCCCAGAAATGGGATGTGACTTTCCCAAGGTCACACAAATGAGTCAGAGCTGGGTCTAGAAACTAGTTCTCCTGATTCTTAAGACCAAGACTGCCACCGAAGCTCAGTTCAGGAGCTGCCTGGCTGTCTGACAAATGGAGGCCTATTTGCGGCTGGCTAGGGTGACTTGGATATTTTTCAACAACCACTTCAGCATCAATCGGAAATCTCCTTTCAATGCTCTTACAAAAAACTACCATAAAAACCTCCAACCAACAAACTGATTAGTGTTTTCCTTTCCTGATCCTCTGGCCAGCAAGATCCCCAGGGAAAAGAGGAAAGCATTTCTCCTTCCCCAGCCTCAGACTGGCAGATCTAGCAGCTTCCAGCTACCCTCTTCCCTAAGCACTCCAACCAAGTGGCCACAGCTGTAATCTCCTGCTCCTCCTTCCTTGGGCTGCCTCCCTCCACTCACCCCATAGCAAGGAAAGGGAAAAAACAAGGAGTCTAAAATGAGGGCATCTGTGAGGGATTGTCTGATGTTGGCTACTGCCAAGTGGGGGTTGTGACAAGATGGGGTAGGAACAAGATATTAGGAAGTAACCGGAGCTCACGCTCCCGAGGCAGGGGCTGTGCTAGGCGGAGTTGTGGTGAACTGGGATGGGAACTGGATACGGAGAAGTAACCAGAGCTCACGCTCCTGAGGCAGTGGGCAGTGCTATGTGGAGCTGTGATAAGCTGGAGAAGGAACAGGATACAAGGAAGTAGCTGGAGCACGTGCTCCTGAGGCAGGGGGCTGTGCCACGTGGGAGTGGGACGGCAGAGAACGAGTTCCTTTGTCTAGTCCTCTTCCCTAGGTGCAACGTCAACCCCAGACGTCTCCTTCCTGACTTCCTGGGTCACGTACTTTCCCTTTGTGTAGCACTGACCCCAGACGCCTTCTCCCGGTATCTGGGCCTGACTTCCTGGGTCACGTACTTTCCCTTTGTCTATGCACTAACCCCAGAAGTCTCTTTCCTGTATCCAGTCCTAGCCTCCTGCATCACTTCCTCTCCCTTGGTGCAGTGCTAAACCCAGACATCCCCTTCCGGTATCTGATCCTACAATCATTGACTAGTAGGAGGGCTGGGGAGGAGGGGCTAAGTAGGTACTTAAGGAACGGGTAGGGATTGGAGCTCGCTCTCCTTTGCTTCTGCTCCCTTGCTCTGGCCTTCCTGCTTGGCCTTGCTGTGATGGCCTCTGAATAAAGCTCGAGTGTTTGCACCTCCTGATCGGGCTCGTCTCTGTGTTTATCTGGGTGCGCACCAAAGACTGGTAAGTATGACCTTGGCAGCCTGCTCCTTATAGGAGGAGAGTACACGGCGCGGCCAGCACAGGCATCTTCGAGTTCCAAAACTGGATGAGGCTATAGAAACCCTCTAATTCTAGAGTGGTGGATCAGTGGAATAGGTTAAGTATGCAAGACACAGTAGTCAATGACTATAGCAATATATTATTTGATAAACCCAAAGACCCCAGCTTCTGGGATAAGAACCCACTCTTTGAAAAAACTGCTGGGAAAACTGGAAAAGAGTGTGGCAGAAACTAGGCATAGACAAAATCTCACACCATATACCAAAATAAAGTCAAAATGGGTACAGGAGTTAGATATAAAGGCTGATACTATAAGCAAACTGAGAGAGCAAGGAATAGTTTACCTGTCAGATCTACGAAGAACAGAAGAATTCATGACCAAACAGGAGATAGAGAACATTACAAAAAGCAAAATAGATAATTTTGATTACATTAAATTGAAAAGTTTTTGCACAAACAAAGCCAATGCAACTAAGATTAAAAGGAAGATTAAAAGGAAGGTAGAAAATTGGGAAAGAATTTTTACAACCAGTCTCTCTAATAAAGGCCTCATTTCTAAAATATATAGAGAATTAAGTCAAATTTATAAGAATACAAGCCATTCCCCAATTGATAAGTGGTCAAAGGATATGAACAGACAGTTCTCAGATGAAGAAATTAAAGCCATCTATAGTCATATGAAAAAATGCTCTAAATCACTACTGATTAGAGAAATGCAAATCAAAACAACTCTGAGGTACCACATCACACCTATCAGAATGGCCAACATAACAAAACAGGAAGATGATAAATGTTGAAGAGGATGTGGTAAAATTGGAACACTAATGCATTGTTGGTGGAGTTGTGAAATGATCCAACCATTTTGAAGAGCAATTTGGAACTATGCCCAAAGGGCTATAAAAATGTGCATACTCTTTGACCCAGCAATAGCACTTCTAGGGCTATATCTCAAAGAGATCACACAAATGGGAAAAGGACCTACATGTACAAAGATATTCATAGAAGCTCTTTTTGTGGTGGCAAAGAATTGGAAATTGAGAGGATGCCCATCAATTGGGGAATGGCTGAGCAAGTTGTGGTATATGAATGTGATGGAATACTATTGTGCTATAAGAAATGATGAACAGGCTGACTTCAGAAAAACCTGGAAAGACTTGTATGGTCTGATGCTGAGTGAAGTGAGCAGAACCAAGAGAACATTGTACACAATAACAGCCACGTTGTGTGATGACTAATATTGATAAACGTAACCCTTCCTGGCAATACAAGGATCTAAGATATCTCCAGAGGCCTTCTGATGGAAAATGCTATCCACACCCAAACAAAGAACTATGGAAGCCAAATTGTTATTTTTTTTTCTCTTCTGTTGAGTTTTGTTTCCCTTTTCTGTTGAGTTTTGTTTCCCTTTTCTGATGGTTGTTCCTATTGGTTTTAATTTCTACTTACAACATCACTAATGTGAAAATATGTTTAATATGAATGTAAATGTATAGCCTATATCAGATTGTGTGCCATCTTGGGGAGGGTGGTGGGGAAGAAGGGGGAGAAAAATTTTAAACTCAAAAGCATATATAAGTGATTATTGATAAATCAAAATAAATTAATAAAAAAATTTAAAAAAAAAAGAAACCCTCTAATTCAACCCTCTCATTTTACCAAAGAGGAAAGTGAAGCCCGGAGACTAGAAATGACTTGCCCAAATTCCCACGCTAAGTCCATTGGACCATACATCCCAAGCTAGAAGGGATCTTGGGGGTCATTGAATCCAATGCATTTTACAGAGGAAAGAGGCCCAGAGAGAAAAGTGATTGAACAAGCCATGCCCAGTAGTATAAGAGGTAGGATTGGAACCCAGGTGCTCTGACTACAAATTCACTGCTCTCTCAGGATCAGGAAGGTTTCCCAGCTTCCTATGCAGTGAAATCTGTCTGTCTCCGCCACTGCCTCTTTTCCTGTGTCTCCTGTCTCTCTCCCCCTCTCCCTTTCTACCTCAGATCCTTCCTCCTCTGAGATTTAGAACAGGAGGTTAAGGAAGAAAGTTGGCTATGGCCAGAAGAACTGGGTGAACTAAGAAGTGGCCTTAGAGATCATCTGATCTGAGGGTTCTTCACCTGGGGTTCACAAAAGCCCAAGGAATACATGGATAGATTTCAGAGCATCTGTCAACCTGAATGGGAATAAAAAATACATCTTTATTTATTTATACATCGAGCCTTTGGTTTCCTTTGCAATTCTTTGTATTTTTTATGCATTTAAGAGTCTGATTCTGAGAAGCTGTCCCTAAGTTCCACTGGGCTGCCAAAAGGAACCAGGATGCAAAAAAAAGTAAAAGCCTTTGATCCAGTCCAACTTTTTTTTTTTTTTTAGGATCAAGAAATCTGAGGCCCAGAGAAGGGAAATGACATGCACAAAGTCACACACAGGCAGTAAAGAAGCAGGACCAAGATTCAGACTCATCTCCTCTGTAACTTCAAACCCAGTGTTCTACTATCCCATTCAGTGCTGGCCCTTTCAAATGGGCCAGGCTGGACTAGGCCTGTGGAAGACTCTGCCCTCCAAAATCCCAGCTTATCTAGAGATGAGTTAATAATTACTGAGGCCTTCAAAGCTTCAGTCTGTCCCCCCCTCCCTCCTACCCCCTAGCACACATACCCCAGAGCCAGGGCCTGGGCCCATACCTTGAAAACAGGAAACCAATAACAGCATTTTCAGAATGTGATATCTTTATCCAGAGCAAAACCACTTAGGTTTATTAACAAAGAGCAAACTTCAAAAAAGAACAACAGGAGTCCAACTAATAGCATGGTGAAATTGGGTCCCCAGGGTTCCAGAGTCCAATTTCTTGGGGAATCTGCCCAGCAGAAACAAGGTAGTGAGTGTCTATGAATTATTTCCCTCCCAAAGCACCCCCCACCCCATCCTGCCACTACACTACACACACACACACACACACACACACACACACACAACACACCTTTTCTCTCTCTGTGGCTTCAAGGAAAGATGCTGGGGACACCAGAACAGGCACCCTAGAACATACTAGCTATGCTCCCTAAGCCCTAACTAGGGGTGGAGGAGATGAGAAATGAGGCTATCAGGAGAGAACAGGGAAAACTGGTCATATCCAGCCTCAGCACCATGTCCTTCTGATGCCAAGCTGGTGGACATCCTGGTGCCCCAAGCTCCAGATACACTCCATGCTGGGAGGGCTGGCTGCCCTAATTCCTACCCTCTCATGAGCAGTTGCCAAGCAAAGCATCAACCCAGCAGTTTATGCTTGTAATACCCTGGGAGGATCTGGGACAAGTTGGGGTGGGGTGAGGGGGAGGGGGTCTCACCTCTTAAGAGGCTTTCACAACACACACACATCCTCCGGCTTCTTCCCTTCCCTCATTCAAACTTTCTATCATCTATAAAAAGAATAAGCTTGACAGGACTTCACATTGGCCTGGGATTCCACAGCTTGGTTCCTCTCTTTGCCCCCAGAACCACTACTGGCTTCCTCTTCCATCTCCCTGCAAGGAGGGAAATCCCACACCGCCACCACCACCACCACTTTCTGCATTTGTCAAAGTGTCTGCTTCCCATAAAGTCTACTGAAAAGGGTCTAAGGAGGCCACATCTCTGCTGAAGATATTGGTCTCATGGAACTCAACATGCAAGAAATATCTTCTGAGGTTCCTGGTCCACCAAGATGAACTGGATCTCCATCAAAATGTCCAATGATAACCCTGGAGCCAGGGGGTGATAGAGAGGGAGTGCCTCTCCCCACTGTGGGTATCCACAGTGATACCCACAGCGCCTTTCTGTCCCTCCCAGGAGGGGGCCCAGAGCATCCCTTCTCCTCAGGAGCACAAAGCCAAGGACATTTAAACGTTGGAGCCTCTCTGAGCTGCCTCGCGAGCCTGCCGCAGCCCATACAACCACTTAATGACACGGGCATTTCGCTCAATGACAGAGACACCATAAGGGGTTCGCTCTCTGGCCCTGTCCTCGGCAGTGGCCTCACTGCGCTGGGAGCGAGTGCCCTCTGAGCTGCTGGTGCTGACACTGTGGAATTTAACCGAGACTATGTCCGAGCTGGCCCTGGCAAAGTGCTCCACACCCAGGCCACGGGCTTCCTCTGGGTCCAGGCCACAGTAGTTAAAGAAGCGTTCGAGGTCAGCTGTGGCCCTGGAGAAGCGGTCACTCAGGTCTGACTTGGAGCGGTGCAGGTGGGTAAGACGTCGAGGACCCTCTTGGGGACTGGGACCTGGTGAGGTGCCCAGGTTAGAGCAAGGGCTGGCAGGTGAGCTGGGCATGGCCCTGATTTGGGGCTCCCTGGTGGGCCGGACATCCACCCTGCGCACTGCTGCTATGCTGGGGGGTCGAAGAGGAGTAGAAAGGGAACCTTCAGTGGCAGGGCTCATTCGCTTCCCATCTCCCAGGGACATCCGACCCAGGCCAGGTGAGGGCCCTGCCTTCCACTTGCGTTCTGGAGGAGGGCCATCAGGCAGGGGTGCAGGGCTGTCACACAAGTTAATGAGATTGCTGAGGACATCCATGTTGAGGGAGGCCCGGGCCCCACAAGCCTCTGCCCGGCGGCTGCCCGCACCTGGGATCCGACGATTGGGTGTCAACATTGCTCTACGAACCCCAGGGCTGAAGAGGGGTTGCTTCAAGAGTAGAGGCTTTATAGGCTCCTGGCGGGTGCTGGCCACCCGCAAGCTCTTCACATATTTCGCCTTGTCTGCCTCCAGTCTCTCCACAGCACTCGGTTTCCGGACATTGCCTTCACCCTGGCGTCGGAAGTAGCTGGGCCCCTTGGTAAGGATGCGGAAGGGCATGCTAGAGGCACAGGGTGCCCCAGGTGCTACTTCCTTCAGGCTGCCCGCTGTGGACAGGGTCTCCACAGGCATAACTGTCAGCTTTTGCTACTAAAGCACTCCAGGTACCTGTGGAAGCTGAAACTGAGTTCAAGCAGAAATAGGGAAGAAATCACATACCCTGGGCTGGTCACTGGAAGGGGTAGTAGAGACAGCAACAGCTGGGCGTCTTAGGCTCCTGAGTCTGCGAGAGTACCGTTCAGTCCACTACAGGAAAAGAATGGGGGAAGACTGTGAGGCAGAGCTTCTGTCGGTGGCTGTGGCCAGAAGCCCAGCTCAGACAAAGGCACAAAGGTGTAGCATCTGAGCCAGTATCGTGCACTTCTGGCCACTCTACCTCCCTCCAAACCCCATCCACCAACACCCCCAGACTGCTGAAGAGCTGAACTGAACAAATCCCACTAGCTCCCTTCCCTATTTCAAGGGCTCAGGCCCCACCCCTAGCTGGGTTCCCCTCTCTCCCAACAGCCAATCAGCATGCAAAAATTAGTTTCAAATACAGCCCCAAGACCT